TTACTCACATACCGTCTTATGCTGCAAAAACCTAATACATACTTGTCTTTTCTCTCTACTAAAATTATGAAAAAACTACTTGAGAATGAGGATAAGGTCCTAGACATTTCTTTTCTATTCCCTATAATTCTAGGAACACAATAAACATTTGCTGAATCTAACAGAAAGTTGACAGAAAGCAGGGTCTTCACTCATTAGCTCTCCCAGCCAATGTGTCCTGGGACAGTGGTAGGACCAATGGCCTAGGAACCATACCTACTCAAGTAATTTTAACTTACGCTTGCTTTACATGACACTATGAAAGTGAAAAATTCAGTTTAGTCAACTAGTTACTGTTCTGACTACTTATCACACAAATAATTTTTTTTTATACTAAACTAACATATTCTGCCAGTCTTTAGAATAACTCTGAGTGGTTTTTCAAAGACAGCCCCTAAATGACAAGATCAAGGTACCTGGATACTGTTGTTTACAGCTCTATGAAAGATCAGATTCACCAAATACTTTAGTTACATTCACTGCAACCTCCTGTGCATGGATCTCTAACAAAGCTAAACTACAAACTGGCTGGTGATGAAAGAACAATCAAATATTTGGGGAGGGTTTGCAAGTCTGGGCAATTATTCCACAGTGTAAGACAATTCAGATGACAAAGTATATCATTTTTGAAGAATGCCACTTAAGTGTGCTACACATGTCACCCACAGGTTTAGAAAACTTGTTAATAAATGTATAGTTCGTCTCTGCCCTCTAAAAACACAAATGCAGGATCACTAACTTATCCTGCCTCTGGAGGTCTTCGAGTGCCCAAGCCCAAGTTTTGTCCTCTATAAATGACAGAGTTGGACTCAATGGCCTCAAAAGGCCCCCCCCCACCAACCATTTTGGAGAGCAATTTGGAACTATGCCCAAAGGGCTATCAAAATGTGCAGACCCTTCGATCCAGCAACAACACTTAAATGGGAAAAAGACCCACACGTACAAAAATATTTATAGCAGCTCTTTTTGTGGTGGCAAAGAAATGGAAATTGAGGGGATGCCCATCAATTGGGGAATGGCTGAACAAGTTGTGGTATATGAATGTAATGGAATACTATTGTGCTACAAGAAATAATGAGCAGGCTGACTTCGGAAAAACCTGGAAAGACTTGTACGGACTGATGCTGAGTGAAGTGAGCAGAACCAGGAGAACATTGTATACAGTAACAGCCACATTATGCAATGACTAACGTTGATAGACTTAGCCTTTCTCAGCAATGCAAGGATCTAAGATATCTCCAAAAGTTTCATGATGGAAAATGCTATCCACATCCAAAGAAAGAACTATGGAGTATGAATGCATATCATATCATACTATTTGCTCTTTTTTCCTTCTGTTGTGTTTTGTTTCCTCTTTCTGGTGGTTCCTCCTATTGGTTCTAATTCTTCCTTACAACATCACTAATGCGAAAATATGTTTAATAGGAATGTATATGTAGAGTCTATATCAGATTGCACGCCATCTTGGGGAGGGAAGGGGGAAGGGAGGGGGAGAAAAATTTAAAACTCAAAAGGTTACGGAGTGATTGTTGATAAATCAAAATAAATTAATAAAAAAAAGATTAAAAAATTAAAAAAACTAGTTCATGCTAAAAAAAAAAAAAAAGGCCTTCCCAGCTCTAAAATAAGAAGTTTTTCATGCCCTTTCCCTGATCACTAAGATTTTTCAACCTGAATTTGCAAGTGGCTCATGATCTTTGTGATACAGACCAAGAAAGTTTCTCATTTCTCTGAAAGATCTCAAGAAAAGTAGGTGGTATCAGTGTCCTAAGGGTTTTAACCCAATACCTTTATTCTAGGTTCTCTCCCTAGTTGAGAATAACTACGTTCCACCCTCACTGGGGGAAGGAGCTGTTCTTAAGCCACCTTAACCCTAACAAATAACTTCTATCCTGCTTCCCAAGGGCAACCAACCTCATGACAATATCTATCAACCTTCCTTGACAGGAGAGCCCTGGGCTTAAAGGAAGAGCCCTAAAGATGTCATTTTGAGACATACTTAAAAAACTATGCATACCCCAAAGCTAGACCCTGGGGGGTGGGAGGTTTCCTTAAACTCCAAGTGACAAACTTCCTAAAAGGGCAGAAGTGCAGTAGTTCCCCCTTGAGGTGACTAGAGAAAATGAATGGGCCAAAGAAGAAACCAAGTTTCCTGTTAGAATTCTGAAAAGAACAGTCACTAAAATATGTTCCCTCATCAGAAATGATTCTGCAAAAATTCTATCAACATCAGGACCCGTCTTTTTGTTGCTAAGATAAATCCAGACAACAGGATCTACAGGCTTAGCAAAGGCACTTGACTTGGCAGTAAAAATCAGATTTTTCTTAACGTTCAGCATCAACAGAAATGAGTCAGTAGGCCTGGAATAAGTGAAAACAGAAGCTGCCGTAGAAACTTGCATGCTTACACTAAAATGGTTAAGAAAAAAAAAAAAAAAGGAAACAAGAAGTAGGCCAATATTTCTGCTTCAGTGACTCTCTCTCTGGGTTTCCTCTTCCCATCTCTGCCAGATTCTAGGCTAAGTGAGGTGAGTAGTTCTAAACAACAGGGGTGGGGGGTGAGGCTGCCAAAGGACAACACAACCACAACCAAATCCCA